GGCAAAAAGACGGAGAGGGGTCGTAATCGCCCCCCCCCCTCGGCCGGGGTATAAGCAGAAAACCCAAAATTCCGTTGAAGGTTAACCCGCGCCCTGGTGGGGTCTGTTTATAACGCGACCTGGTGGGGGGGGGGGGCTATTTTTTGCCCCCCCTCGTATCTCCGAAACTACTGGACGGATCCGCAAAATTCAAACGGCGTTCGAAAGGCCTGTCAAATTTGTCGAAGGAAACCAAATTTCATTGACCTCGGGGTCACCGATGACGTCACAGGTCAGGTCAAAGATGAAATGTTTCACCGTTCACGGGTCTTCTAGGGAATGCGCTATAACACCGAGGAAAACGCATTTTGTCGAGAATCAGCGGTAGGGCGTCAGTTGCCTAGTAGATATGTTGCTATTAGAGGTCACTAGCAATACCAGGTCAGGTCACAGGTCAGGTCACCAAGGGTCACAGGTCAGGTCACATGAGCCCAACTTTACTAAGGTTGTGTGATACATGTTTTATGGCCAATTTTTCATTTCCAACTCAATGGTGTTGGTTATAAGACTATCAGGTACGGCTTAGGTCACTTTCTGGTGAAGTTCAGGTCAAGGTCAGGTCAAGGTCAGGCCAAAAAAGGTCAAATTTTAAAGTTGATATTTTTGCATAAATTGGGTATTGATTCGATGCAGCTCGTCACGGGGAGTCTAATGGTGGTCTTTGTTTTGCGCTATGGGGTCTAGAATTGCTAAAAATTGAGTTTGAAAATTTGACGTCATCAATTTTGAACAGTTTTTTCGCTATAACTTCGCCAAAAAAGGAGGTATCAATCTCAAATTTGGTATATGGATGGAAGGCGGTAAGGACTATCACATGTATTCCGGTTTTTGCGAAATTCAAAAAACTTTTCGGATTTTTTCGATTAGTATATCAAAAAAATCTATTTTTTGATTTTTGGGGTCAAAATCCAAAAATTTCAAAAATCCGAGATAGCAGTTTTGTAGCCCTGTCCAATCTACAGCTTTTATGTCTTTATCATTTTTCTGTATTTGCAAAGCTATAGGCCTGACAGCTCTTCCCGCGAAACCCTTTTTTGGGTCGAAAACGGCAGAACATGACGTCACTCTGACGTCATTTCCGGCCAACCTATCATAGCCTTTGGAAAAATTTTTGGTCACAATGTGTAAAATTGATGTCCGGGAGGGTACTGAAAGTTTGGTGACGATCGGCGCAGCGGTTCTGGAGATATATCGAAAAGTCTGGAGGGGGGGCAAAAAATAGCCCCCCCCCCCACCAGGGCGCGGGTTAAGCACTGAAGTGATATATTATGATGCGAGAAGGTATAGGTAAAAACAAGCATGCACACGAGCGGATGTGAATTAAACTGTTTGAGGTATGCCTTTTTTATTATCCATTCGATTTGCTTTAGTTATTGGTAAGAACAGATACAACCAAGAAGAGCGCCCCTGAAGAAAAGGTGGCGCACCGGACGGGTGCGATTTTAAGGTCCAAGGTCAGTCGGGGACCTCTAAGTTCGGATCAAGCGCTGCTTGTTAGGGTTAAAACTTAATAAAAAAAAAAATGGGAGCAAACAAGCATCCCGATTTTGGCAGCATCGTCATGCTTTGTCACGGCACTCATCCACTCCCTCGGCCGAAATATTAGTTCCTTTTTGTATGAGTTCTGGCATAATCCCGCACATTATGCTGCATGTTGTTTGCCATGAAAAAAGCATGTTCAGCTACGTTCTACGCAGTACGCACTAACCTAACCACCATCCCATCATCCACCACTAGCCACCGTCCCGTTCTGTGATCCGTTCCACCCCACACGAATCAGCCGAGATACTAGTCAGTCGGGCTAGCGCTATCCTCCCCTCCCTTCCTGACTGCACAGCGCTAAAACCCAGAGCCGAGACTTCCCGAGCGCGACCTCTGACCCCACGCGGTCCGAAGGGTCGGCCGATGCCTGAGGGCGCGCCGCGCGCCGGCCACCCGGATAGCCTCTGCCGAGTCTCCCTTTCATACACCGTTTACTACGCGCTCGATTCATTCATGATTCTGTGTTTCCGCGTCCCTCTCGCTAGGTGGCACCATGGATGTCATAGGCGATCCCAGGAAGATTGCGGCCAGAATACCCCAAACGGCAGAAAATGAGGTTTTTGGTGGATATCTCGGAAAGTATTTGGCATACAACGATGAAATTTCACAGTCTCGTGGTAAATGTGCATACACATAATCCGGGTTGATACTTATGCATTTAAACATTATATAGGACCAGATATGTCCGAAAAAGCAAAACCAACAAGACTTTTACTGGAGAGCCGTACACCAGACGGCGGGCCGGGACGCGGCGGAACACCTGTGGCAGACGACTAGCGGCCCGTTACGGGTGCCGACAGACCCGAGCGGTGCGACTCGGCTCAGCCCGACTACCTGGCCAGAAATTTGGCCGGAAAGCACACACAACTTGACGACCAGCTAAGCAACTTTGGAATGGTCGGGAATCGGGATGCAATAGCCTTGGAGTCATCTGACAACTTCAGAGAGTCGTACCAGTCATGAATGAACCTCTCTTTGAGATAAGTTTGAATCCCCTTGACAGTGAGGAAACTCCGCCAAAAGTTATCTCGGAAGTTTGAAATGAGGACCATTTCGACGCGAGAACTTCCTCAAACGACATTCCGCAGCAGAGATCTGTCGCGATCTGTAATAGCACAGTCCCATTCAAAGGAGATCAACTGCAACGTCTACATTTCTGGCTGGTTCCTCGCTTTGATGCAACACACAAATACGACACTTAACCCTGAAAAGCATCTTTTGATCTTCCCTTTCCGACCTAAGATGTTGTGACATGACGTTGGCACATAATCATTCCGCTGGTCGAGCGCCGGCGGCGCCAAGCCCCGACCACCAAAGACGCCCAGCACGTTCTCTGTTCTGGGAAACTCACAACTGTCAGTGAACCTGTCTGCTGCGTCGCCTGGCCAATAGAGTCGTCGGCATCGTCCCATTCGCCATTCTTTGTTTTGCGACGGCCTAAGCACGTTTACCAGCCAGTAACACGAGTTTCAAGGCCACGAAATGAAGGCGCCGCTCTACATTTGCAATGCATGCAACTTGCCGCTTTTTGTGGTCGTCGGACGACGTTCGCCGTGCCAACTCCTCGCTTATTGTCATTCTCGACGTTCACGACGCTGCAACAAGTGAAGGCTGTGTTTGTCCGACCCTTTGAACTGCGGACAATCAGCGCGTCGCTTCAACGGCGTGATGTTCCCAGACCGAGACCGAGCCGATCTGTCAGGACGGCGAAGCCATCGACAATTCGGCCGACCATTCGTCGCAGCAGCTGTCGCGTCGCTTGACATTCAGACCTCGCACCAGCCGTCAGCCGCAGCCGAATTGAGCTCACACTTTCAACAGCGAGCTTTTACAGCTCAATGGGCCGCCGGCAGCCAAGTCGCCATCGACCCTCAATTCTAGTTCAACAGTTGAACGGCTGTTGGGTCGGAACGGCCCGTCACCGTGCCCCATTCACCACACCGGTGCTGTCTCATTTGGGGGCGGGCTGACGTGTTCCACCGCGGCAGGCCAAAGCCGAGCGCCGCGCGACGCCACGCCCGCCCGCCTACCGACCGAACCGGCGCGACGCGGCGTGGGCTGGCTGGCATTATAGGAGCTACATAGCCACATACAGCGGTATTTACTACAGCAGCGGTGAGCGGCTCCTAGCCAGGCAGCGGGACCGCGTCAGGCGGTCCGCAGGAGCGGCTGTTGGTCGCCGAGGCGGGACGGACCGTTGACCGTCCCTCGCCCGCCGGCTCGCCGGTCCGCTGCGGACTCCGCCGACCCGCTGCGGACTCCGGGCGGTCCGCTGCGGCACTTTCCTTCAGTGACGGGCCGTCCTCGGGCCGGCCATGAGTCGGTCGGGTGACAGGGCCAGTCGAATCGCGGGCGAGCCGGGTCGGCGGCAGAATCCTCTGAATTGAGCTGCCCAACACCCGACGCTCATACGCTGGTGGTAAGGGAACGAGCTGTTGTGGGAAACTCACGGCAAACCTAACTGCAGTAAGACGCGCATTGGGCGAACGAGTTATGGTGCCCACAATACGAGAAGTATGCATGCCATTTGTGTCTAACAAAACCAAACATGCAAATGTGTCCACATAACTCGGAAGAGCACATTTATACTAGACAAGGACCAAATTAAGCAATAATTAACACACCTTGAAGCGCCCTGTTTGTCGTTCATGTTCATTTCCCAGTACGGGCTTCCCGCATGGCCTCAATGACCGCGGCTCCTTAGCTCGCGTGACGACTTTCCTGGCCGCCAAGGCGCCCGCATCGAAATCGCGATCGAAATCGGGCACGGAAGGCGGGCTCGGCGGCCGCTCACACAGATGATGGCGGCTAGGTATCGCTGGTCGAGCCACCACGAGCGCACCGTGGGATAAAAGGCCCCAGAAACCGAGCTACAGAGGCGGCCGTTCAGAGCCCGACAGCCATATGGCTCTGTAAATCCTCCCGGAAATGTTCCCGCCCGGCAGCCTATTGCAGCTGAGAGGTATTTGTGTTCAGAGACCGAGCGTTAGCGGTGAAAAGAGCCGTGGTTTGGGCTGACAGAACGGAAGGCATAGACGTTGTTTATAGAATGTGTCCGCCACACACGTTCCGAAAATACGTTTCGAGGAAAGAGTTTACGACTGTTCTGCAGTTGTGAGGCTAATGCCCCTCAGACAACACGGTAAAACGTACATACGACACGATGTTCCGTTGTCGCCGCACTAACGGCTGAGAAAGTCCAAATCGCTTGTAAACTGTTGCTCGATGATCGATCTGTTGTAAGATCACCTATACAACATGACAAACTAATGCTACTCTGGTCTTCGTCTCACATCATCCATGTAACCACTCGCAATCTACCTATAGTAACTACGAGTCCGACTGCCTGTAAAAACCACCACCACCACCACCACGACTACCACCACACACCACACACCACCACCCTGCTCTGTCCTAACCTGTCGTGGGGCGGCTCGTCGTCCGGCAGTTTCTCCGCCGTCACGTCCAGAAAGTTCAGCTGCTCGGGCGGAACGTTGCTCGCCTCCCACGCGGGGCTCAGCTTGACCGGCTCGTCACGAGGCGTGTACACCAGGGGACGCGGGGCGGACGCCGGGTCCACGAACGGGTGACTCTCGGACGATAGTTGACTCCGGTCACCTGGGGGTGCCGGGAGAGGTCACAGGTCACCGTCACCGTAAAGCGGACGTCAGGTCGTTTTTGACAAAGGGTGGGGTCAGAGTACATTTTCAAAGGCGAATTTATGCATGTTTCGGGGTAAAATTAGAGGTTACCTTAGAGATAAAAGTGCATAGCGCCGTTTGAGGAACACATTAACATCATAATTGGTAAAGGTTTGCAGTTATCGTTACAATCTACATACATTTACACACACGGACACTCTTCAAGTTTATGAACACAGTACACACCCATCAACACCCATCAACCCGATGTTGGCACAGTCACCGCATCCAACACAGTAAATTACACAGTGCTATCGAAGATACATTTGCCAAACATAACCACACACAATTGACATTTTATCGAATCAACCCACTATCAGTAGAAAGCGGTAAACTTCAGAATCTTCTCTTACCTTTCCAAGTCATCAGAGCAATTCAGCAGGAATGGAGGATAAATAAGGCATGCAGTGATGAGACAAATATGTAGGCATGAGCCATGCTGCAATCACGCTGATGCACTGAGCGGAAAGCCCTTCAGTCAGACGATCGGTAAATACAATCGGCCCTCAACAACGTCCGCTGAGGCTTCTAAGCGAGCATGGTAAAATGTGGGTATACGAGGGAGTATCGAAAAGTTCTGATCATCACCATGAATTAGATGTGATAGAAATTTGATTTTTTTTTACATGATGTTCATTACTCCTTTACAAGTCACCACACACGACCGCAAACTTATTGCATCGTTTCTTGAGCTGCCTCAGGCGGTCATTGTAGGACCTTCGCACTGTCCCGTAAATCACTGCTCCACCTCATCAATGACGTCATTTCTGTCCTTAAATCACCGGCCATACTGTGGATTCTTCATCTCCCGTAACAATCAAGAGTCAGTTAATACCCGGCCAGGTGAATTTGTTAGATGCGGTAGGATTTAATGTCCACATCATGTTGTTTCTTCAATCACAACTCAGGACGGATGGGCGGGGGCGCTGTCGGTGCGGATAAAACATCTTTCTTGGGCTTTTTTGCGGCGATTCTGCTTGAGGCCATCTCGCAACTTCTTCAAAAGTGTGCAGTAGTGCTTGCTTATCATTATCCGACCATCATCAAGACAGTCGGTAATGACTATCCTAGGCCAGATCCAGAACACTGACAGCATTGACCTTCCATATCGGCTTCTGCATCTTCGCCTTTTAAGAAGGACAGATGTGCCGTACTTAAACTTCTTGATCATCTTTTTGTCTCTGAATCATACACATAGACCCAGCATTCGTCACAAGTCATCAAATGATCAAAGATGTCTTCAATTTCCTTAAAAGGCCTAGTTTTTATTTTGAAAGGCCAAGACGCATTTTTCTCTTGAACAAAGTAGGCACACGAACTTCTAAGCGGGCTGACTCCCTTATAGTCCGTAGTTCTTCGCTGATAATATTTTCAGGCACTGCCAGCATTGAGACCTTTCTGTTGCACAATCATCTGAAAGGTCACACGACGCTCTGTAAGGATGAGGTCCTCCACTTCCTTCACAGTCACCACCTTGTCGGTCACTGGTAGTCACTCACTTCTTGACTCCCCTGCAAGGGCCATGCAACCAAGTTGAAAATTATTTCTTCATTTTCGGTAAGTGCATGAGATGGGGTTTCTTCGCCATAAACTAATTTCACGTTCTTGATGTATTTTCTCAGTGTGATACCGTCTCAAATGCATTAGTTGGATGACGGTTCGCTCCTCAATGGGCCCAATACTCATCTTTTTTACTTCTAAGTCTCTCCTACATAAGATAAAACCACTTCTCAGGATTTTCTTTTCGGGAACATTGTTCTTAAGAACCAAATATAACACCAACCAAAAATCATCCAAATCGGTCTATATCTTCTATGTGATGATCAGAACTTTTCGATACCCCCTCGTAGTTTCCACATCAATACAATCTGCAGAGACGTCCTTATGGCTTGTCTGCCGGACCAGTTATTGCCAAAACAGCAACTGATCATGGATGAGCAATGAGCACGTGCCGGAAGTGATGTAAGCCCATCAATCAAGCATAACCTCTTGTTAATTGGTAATCGACACAGTATCCTCAACACCTGCCTGGTACACAACATACCGATGTTATATCCCTCTTAATTCATACCCTTTCATTGCGGAACGATCGAAATCGAGCTATGATCGAACATAGGCGGCGATATATGAAGATGACTGATCTCGACGATAGCCCGATCTCAAGCATCGCAGTCAAGCGTCACTTTCCGCTCATTAAACTGAATGAAAGCTATTTTAAGAACTATCCTGAGCCTGCCTATATATGCAAGAGATGAAATTCCAGCAAAGTTCGGAATCGTCAAAGCACTGATTGCTCATCAAACCGCCCTGTGGCGAATGTCCTAAAACGGCCCGGGCACCGCACCGGTTTGGGGCACGCCACGAATGTCAATATCGATTAGTGACGTGCCTCATGACGTAAATGATGACCTCAGCGAACGGTCCGCCTTCGACGCCCCGCATCGGCTATTAGTCTTGTGTCCAATAACCGGAGGCGAAATGACTAATTATCCAGATTGACCTCCCTGAACTGCCGTCGTGTGTGGCCCTTCCCGAGGGTGTTCAGCTCCAAGCCAGCTCCAAGAAGCGAAAATCCCTGGGCGTTGGTCGGTAAAACATGCAAACATTCCCACTCATAGCGCGCTGCTGATACCGTCGCCGGTTTCCAGTCCACCGCGGACCATTCCTGACCGTCTCATGTCGCACTGAGCGGACTTCTGGCAAGGTGCCGCCGCCGCCTGCCGCCATCCTTCACCGTTTCACAGAGCGGAGCGCGACCATTACAGGAGCGGAGCGCGACCACTGACGGAGTGGGACTCCTGCCACGTCGTCCAGCGAAGGGGCCGGCTGGGCACAGCTGTGCGTAACTTCTTACTCAGATGAAGAGCGACTTGGAAAAATAGTCCCGTTGAATATGCATTGTTTCAATGCTTAAAAGATATTCTTTTGAATATATTAGACTTTTCGGACTTGGAAAGCTTAGGCGTGCTTAGCCAATCACCTTCCCTCCCTTCCCACCTCTAACATCCACAAATGCGCAGGACGTTTACCATCAACGCCGATGTATTGCGCTGTCCATGCACGACACAGCGGACGATAAAGGAAGCAGGAATGACATCCACGACCAGCTAGCCGAAATGAGACTCGAGACATCACGTTGCCAAACATCACTATTGGCTGAGCGGAATGGACACGATAGTCCGTCGGGGAACGACCGCCGGGGACGTCATCCGACATGGTCTGCCGGTGATAGCTGCATAACGGCCCCGGCCGGCAGCTCGGGGAACAGAGGTCACGTGACGGTCCGACTCGACACGAGATGGTTCTTCCGTCTTCGGTACGGAGCGGGGCTCAAAGGGGATGGATAAAGGGCAGACGGCGCGGCTCGAGTCCATGGTGTGACTGCACAAAGCACGTTTACGGGTTACCAAGGGCGAAATTGTATTAAGGGTGGTATAGGATAGGAGGACAACGCTTCAAGGGATTTGGAGTACCTATCTAGCCTTTCTGGACCGGGGACACGGAGCCGTGATAGCTGGTACACGGAGCCGTGATGGCCGCTCTGGTCACCCCCCAAATAGCCACCACAGGAACTAATGGTAATGCGAAAAGAGATCCAGTAAAGTGTAAGAGTGTAAGTGCGATGGGGCTAGACTGGATGAGGTGTAGGAACCACAAAACATGTGGGAACTCTTACAATCTTGCATCGTAAGCGAACCACAAGCGTCCATAGAGCGCCCCGTGTATCGGAGACTGACGGAGGCCGTTGAACGATGTGTCTGACACCGGTCCGAACACAATGTGAGCTGGCAGCAGCAGGTGGCAGCGAACAGATCCACAGACGGCTGACAGGCGGGGCTGGCTGCACTGCCAACCGGAACGGGGCCCGCGCCGACTCCAGGCACACAGATGGGGGGGAGGGGGGTGCTGAACGGGTCGAGATACAAACGGATGATGGTGACAAAAGTTTCAAGGAAACTTTTGGCAACCTCTCTATGAGACAAGCCCATACACATAGGTAACACACAAAAGAAGGGATGACAGCGCAGCTCCAGACAAATGGATGACGGTGCAGATCTGTCCAAACACAACCGAGAGATAAGACAAAGCTTCTCTCGACATAAGTAGGAGAGATGGTGATACGGCTCTAGAAATAAACGAGTGGAATGGAAGCTTGGTAGCAGCGGGAAGACAGCGGAAAGCCGAAGGTGCAGGGTGAGAGCCTGAGAGGAGAGGATGGTAGGCCGTAGGGTGGCAGGAGCAGCTTCTGAGATCACGTCCCGTGCCGCAGCATTACGGATAACATGTGGCAGCGGCGTATTTCTCAAACTCACCCTCTCTGGATGCATCTAAGTCGTATTTAGTTCTCATGTTCGTGACTCTCCTTGCTTACAAATGCTGAACCTGGAAACGAAAAAAGGTACTATTATAACTCCTATTAATATTTGTTTTTGTCATATTCGGAATAAAACGTTGTGAGTTTATTTTTTAACGATTATCCCTGAAGATATACATACGACTCATATAAATCACATTCACATGAAACACATCGTACGATCACTCATACCTAACTCGACCTGGAAATAAATCGATATCTTATTCACATCGTACATAAGCAAAAAAGGCTAGGGGCATGGATAGCACGGGATAATAGCAGACTGAGACGGATATGTGGGATTCGATGCCGATATTGATATAGCCGCGTCATAGCCCATAGGCGGCGGAACGGGGAGGGCACCGGGGCACCGTGCCCCCCCTTTGATTTTGGTATTTTAACATTAGGGCGTTGCATGGAAAGAATGGGACCAAAAGTCGGCAGTGCCCCCCCCCCCCCCTTATTTGAAGGTGTTCCGCCGCTGCTGAGCCGCGGCGTGTCCCATGATATAACTTGAGACATTGATTGTCGTTAACTGAGGCCAAAACAACCAACAGTATGACAATTAACAACCAGAAAAGAAGCGGGAAAGAATCAAACACCGGAAATTATCTTCAGCTTGCAGGTCAAGGTCAAGGTGCGACGGAACAGTGACAGCGGACACTGACAACATCGCACTTCACTAGCACACATAACGCACCTTGCGGACAAGTTTGGTAGCCACGGATGGACACCTCACGGCTCACTCCCTACGCGATTTATTTTTTGTTATTACACACGGTCACAGCCCTTCCGCACACAATCGGAGAGCACAACACCGCGCACCCCACACCACCACAGCAGACGGCGCGAATGGGCGGCCACCAAAACAGGGCCTTGGTAACAACTGGATTTCCATTACGTCATGGGTGATGATGTCACACCACGGGTGACGTTTCACTGCTGCTGCTGCTGTCCACGGAGGGCAGCGTTTGTGAGTGGAAAACAGTAGCAACATTGTAAATGAAGGCAGTATTGGCGCTTATGCTACATATGAAATTTATAACAACATAAAAAAAAATTGATATTAGTGACATAAACCCTCCATTTCAGGGTCTGCATGCAAAATTTCTGTTATTTTAGAGTCAAGCTATTGTACTAAGGGATTTATTTTGGCAATTTAGTCATTTGTTAGGTTATAAGGCTGCAGAAACTTTCAGTTGAGGTTGGTATCCACTATCCAGTTGCAGCTATAATTAATTGTGTCATATTTTGTATCATTTTCTGAACATGTAAACACCTACCTATATGAATTCAAATTTTGTGATTGTAGAAAAGCAGTTACCCTCACATTGCAGCGGGGATTAGAACAATTAACCACACTTGTTATACAAAAAGCCTGTTTGCCATCAATTTTGGGAATCCAAATTGGGTATTGGTCAGGTAGATGTAGCACAAGCTGCCCGATGCACGAGAATGGGTCTTTCTAACCAAACCTTACCTAACCTGACCTACAACCTACAGCCTTAAACCTAAAATTTACAACCTACGACCTAGTCCTACGGTATGGCATATCACAACAGCTTGTGCTACGTCTGCTACCATGACCCAACTTTGTGCCAATTCATACCAACTTGGGATGACAGTCACTGCAGATGTGTGCTGACCATGCAGGTCTTTGTTACAATTGCAATTCTATTGTGTTACAGGTTCGGCGTTCTACAGCTGCGACCCGCCATGGCTGGGCCACCGCGGCGGCATCACCTTCAGGGTGGACCTGCCCGTGGCCACCCGCCGGTCGGACCCGCCTGCAGTCCGCAGGGAAGCTGCCCTGCGAGCCATTGCAGAGCTCCCGCACCCGGACGTCACTATCTGGTCGGACGGCTCGGCTCGCGGCGGACGGAACAGGGCGGCGCAGGCGCTGATCCAGTTCCACCACCTCAACAGAGAAGAGACCGTGCGCGCTCCTGCAGGGGCGGTCTGCTCCAGCCTAAGAGCAGAACTGACCGCCATGCGCGAGGCGTTCGCGGCTGTGGCCGGCCTGGAGGACGGGGAGTTGGCATCGACCAAGTCGGTCCGCCTCCTCACCGACTCAAGGTCTGGGCTCCAACTACTCGGCCGCGGCCCAGCTAACCAGACCATGGCCCTGGCCGCCGAGGTGTGGAGGCTGCTGAGTGCTGAGCACCCTCGCCGAGAACGGCACCGAGACGGTGCTCCAGTGGGTGCCAGGCCATGCCGGGCTGGACGGCAACGAAACCGCCGACCGCCTGGCTGGCGAGGCCACGGCGGGCGACCAAGACAGCGCACCGATCGACCTGTCGAGTGCGCGAGCCGCCGTCACGCGCCATGTCCGGGAGCTGTCGCGACAGAGGGCAACCGCTGCCCACCCGCACCCGGACCCCACGCCTGGCCACGACTCCCTGGCGCGCTGGGGTCGGTGACGCTGTCCCAGCTGAGGACCGGCACATCACCGCTGACCCGTGACACGCTCCACAAGATTGGCCCGGAAGCCGACGACGAATGCCCCGCGTGCGGGGAGCCCGACAGCGCGGCGCACCTACTGACCGATTGTCCGGCCTATGAGGCGGCCCGCCGCCGCCGCTCGGGTGCCGACCCTCGCCTGGTCGACGTCCTCGGCGGCCCGGCGACGAAGGTCGTCACCTTCATCGAGGATGTTGGGCGGACCGAGCCGCCGCTCGACCCGCCTGCGCCGCCGCCCCCCTGAGCGGGTTGGCGATGGGATGCAGAAGAAGAAGAAGAAGCAACTGCCAGCGCGCCACGGCGGCGAAGCCGAGTTCCGCCGCTGGACCGCCCGCGCAATGGCCAGCACAGACAAGAAACAACCGAATCACAACACCTACAATTACGTTATTGTTATGGTATTGACATTGTTACAATTAACCCTGCTCTTTCGAGCGTGGATGCACGCTAAAATTGTCGCATAATTCCATGCAGCTTCCACCCTTCTGCAATACAAAGTTTGAATACAAAGTAGTCTTACAATAGGTTTAGAACTTATGTGCAGATTGTCGATGCTGGTTGACTTGATGATTGGAATTGTGTTTATCTGTTTTATCTGTTTTGACTTAAATATATGGCCATGGACTATGGCCTACCTTGGGAAGTGTCTATGATTTCAACAAAACATTTTTCATCAGGATACGCTGCAGGGTACATAGTACATACGTAGTGAAAATTTTGGGCATGTATGGGTGCGCATGTGGAGATGTAGACTGCGAATGAGACGGACTACGACGGTTTTTGAACCAATTAAATCTGATTGACAACATAATGTAGGACTAAAAACTGACTGTCAGAAGAATATTCACAGAATATTCACTTCACCCGGTACAACGAAAAGGGAAAGTCAGGGAACAGGGGCAGGGTACATCTCGAAGATCAATCAAATTGCAGGTGCCGATTGGTTATGGATCATCGTAGCTCAATGTACTGCCTTGTGCTGCTTTATTGATTGAAATTGCATCCAGCTTGTATTGAAAGAAGTCATTATGGAAGATTTTAAAAAGGTTCTTGAATAATTTAAATACTTTGAATTTATATTTCTGCAGAATTATATACCCGTATCATTCTTTTAATGTCAATATTTGTATATTTTCTAGCATTTAAGGAAATAGTGGCCTCAAGTTTTTAGAAAATATCTGATTTTGCTCTCTGGGCCACTGCAGATCCCTAAAAAGTTAGGAGCCGTCTTCATTATTTAATGTATAAAACCAAATAAATTATCACTGCTCAAAAGTGGAAGAAATGACAAATGAAAAAAAGTTTTCCTACAGCGTTGCAATCCAGATTTCAAGATAGTGATGGGCGCACTAGAAAGCAAGTAAAAGTACTCCACAAGGTAAAAGTAAGGAACAAGAATATCCTTATACTGTTTCAGAATTCGGTAACAAACATTTTTTGTGTGTTTTAAATACCCGGACAAATCGATTCCAGAATCAGTCTTGATGATATTATATGGTTTTTGTATGGTGTTGGTGGTACTCGAATGACCAAAGTCAGTACATGTCCATCACCTTTCGATATTTCCGTGGTGCTCGCTCCCATTTCATAGCTGCTCACGGTGTTTTGTGCGGACGTCATATGGTGCTGCTCCACTAGCGCCACCATACGGCGTCAGCTGGCGAATTATCCAGTTAATACCAGAGCCCCCAAAACAAGTCCCGCTAGCCGTGTGCGCCAGCCTGTATCAGGTGCGCCGTCGTTGTATTGATTTATCAACATTTTACTAGTATCTACTAGGACACAGGAGTTTTGTTGCTGATTTTTTTTTATATTATGGCTCAGAATAATTTTCAACTAAGTTTTCTTTGGAATTGTATGATTAAAAAGCGCATCAGGTGTATCATCGATGTACCAATTAAATTGTCAAAGAACTCACAATATAATATCTAGCCTAAAGTTTATGCAACGTTTATGCTTAAAAGATACTTTTGCTTTATATTTAGTTAACGATGAAAATACCTTTTTTTATACTTGTCATGTGAGATTTTGTTCCATGAAATGTTCACTTTTTCAAATACAAATGAAAAGTAGGAAAATACCGATGCTCATTCTAGTTCTCAATCTGGTCGAAACCTTATGTTTACAATTCGATTCTAAGCACGTGTTGGTGTGTGTGGGTCGTGTTGTATTTGGCAGGGGGCGCAGGGGGGTTTGTGGAGATGGTATTTTCAGCGTTTTCGGTGAGATAGACGTTTTTAGCTTCTTCCAGGTTTTGCTTGCTGTGACTGAGCGTCATAAGCCAGGACAAGTCGAAATGGACGATTGTCAACAAATCAGCAATGCCAACTCAAACTCAGGGCAGTGCAAGTCAAAGTTGAAGTGCAATTCCTCCAACGCCTTTAGCATAACAATTACTGCGTGCATCAGTAGCGGCGGAACACCTTCAATTAAGGGGGGCACTGCCAACTTTTGGTCCCATTCTTTCCATGCCAATGCAGTGCCTATGTTCGGCTAATGTTAAAATGGCAAAATCAAGGGGCATGGTGCCCCGGTATCCCCGTTCCGCCACTTATGGCGTGCATGAAGAATCTGAATTTCTTTTTCGAATAATTTGTCATGCTGTTGGTATGCTGTTTAATCCTGTACCAAATTTTAATCAATATTTCTTATTGTGCTATTTATATTTCAAGACCTATAGATATGTACAGTGAAGTGGCCTAGTTAATTTGAGACGAGCCATTAGGAAATTAAAATTTGTACCTACTGTGGAGTGGAGTAAGCATTCAACTTAGCACAGGTACCAGCTCACCAGACACCAAAGCCTGGCATGACCATACCCACTCACTGATATTATCTGGACTGCTCTGTACTGGAACATCAGTTGGTGACATACCAGGGAAATAAGCTAAAATTAGAGTGCTCTATTTATTGCTCCTGCCCCATGTTGAAGAGATACCCCTAAAAACGTGATCTTTTATCGGCCCTTACGCAGCAAGGCAGTAATTCTCAGACCGGTGGATGGTATCAATAGAAAGAGAATGCGTCAAAGATTACAATGAATTAATTAAAATAACATTAAAATGTTGATTAAGCGTGGAAATTAGTCCCAAACATAAGCTAATTATTGCTTCTACCTCGGCGACGGCGCTCCCCGCAGTCAGTGGAGAAGCTAAAATAAAAGCCACCATCCTCCTCCGTAAGTCAATTTTAGAGCGGCCGAGTGGGCCGATGCGGGGCCACCAAACTGAGGTAAGACGTGGCTAGCAATTGCAAACCGCCATAGAAATCAATATCTTAAGACGTACAATATGGGATGATTACTCTGAAGCTGGAGTGAAAGCATGAGTAGATTGCAAGAAACGAAATGCATAGATTGGTTGAATTATGTACAATAGGCACAGCTCAATAGATGAAGCCATTTCTATGATGTTGACATTTGACATAACCCTTCCTCTCCTCACCTATGACCTAAGTGCATTGGCAGTTACCGGCATAGTTTTTGAGCACGAGTTTAATTCGCCATCGGACCGCAATGCATGTTGCTAGGCTGCTGCAATTACAACGAACATACGAATACTGCCTTCATTTGTAGACGTTTGTTTTTTAAGCGGTCTTTGACGTACAAGGGGGCATACCTGTCGACAACTTGAGTTTCTCCGAATTTCAAAAACTCCCAGAATTTCAATTCCTTATGCACTGTTGTAGGTACAGCTACGTTCACAAGTTTTCGTTTCCTCCTGTTCTAAAAAGGATGATATTTGTCGATTTCGTGCGTCGCTGATAAGAGGGTGCGTTTAATAATTAGGCCCAACGCTTTCTGCATCCGCGAGTACCTACCTTCAAAAGGGAACAACAGTTTCCATTTATTACACTATGGGACATGTGACAAAATGACCACTGGAACACGCATGAAACGGAGCTCATATTCCTAAAAATGTCTACAATCACTTCCTTTCCGACACTATTAACAAATACCATCTCAAGTTAGGTGGTTGACAGACAGTCAATGGAGATCTGGGGAGACTGAGTGATGCCAATTCACCACTTAACTGATAATGAGGGCTGAGGGCAGAGAAACAGGCAACATGCACAACTGACAACTTGACAAGTGACAAAACACTACCAATATTGCGCAGTGCACAACATATTACAGCGGCCAGCCCAAAAAATGCTTTTGGTGGCTTATTGCAAAACAAGTCACTAATAAAATATGTCTTAGTTGCAGCTGAACACTGCACAATGATCACACTGTTCACGCTTTGAGTGAGATGCCACAGGTGGTTTGAATCACACTTTGATACAACTGCAAATCTGAAGTGTTATTATGAGATTCATGCCTCCATGATCACAGCACTTTGGTTGAGGTTGGCAAAACACTTGTAGTCTGCAGAGTTCCACATGAACTGCAGACACCTCATCTGGTGGTCTTCATGTTGCTCAACTTCTTCAGGAGGCAAATGTCGACCACCCAGCGGAAGCATGGTCCTGCAGAAAAGAAAGGTAATGCATAAGGTACAAACATTATCTGCTGAAACAGCCCCTTCTGTTGGCTGTTATTAAACTTTTAACATAACATAACAACATGTATTCCATGTATATTACATTTGTTGAAGTAAAATACTGCCAGCTATTTCAATACCAGAAAATGAAATTATATTGTGGCATAATTCACATGCTCAGCTATCAGTATCAAATAATAAAATAATTTAAAATTTGGCATATCCTATAAAACACATTCATAGAATATTCTACTTCACGTCACAAGGACTCACAATCTTTCTGTTGGGTGTTTGATTGACGCATTAGCTAAGTTTGTCTTAGGTCTTATTATTACACAAAAAAATTCATATTGCATTATTGTATCAAAATACTGCCAGCAATAACAAAACAAGAACATGAAATGTCAATGAGCAGGCCGCCTTTCCAAAAATGGGTTACTTTGAAAAGAATTTGTTTCTTTTAAGGAAAAGGAGAAATGATTATCAGGTAATTATCAGAAAACCACTCAACCAGCAAGTGGCTGGGTGGTTTAACAGCAAACATCAAGCCAAACCATATATTTACATTTATCTAACAATTGAGCCATTTGACTACCACAAGGATATGTGAGCAAAATAAGAATCCAATTATCCAATGTTGACTTCCTTGCAAAGTTTATGCCTTATTTTATGAAAACGTGTCACTAGAATATGATACTTATCATCGAATATTATTTAATTTACGATTTATTTCGATCGAAACGCACATGGAGTCACGCGCCATTTTCGTCGACGATTAATATGATCGTGTTTCATGAAGAGATAAGGGGCTTCAATGGTCTTTCAAAGCAATAATTTGATGCAAAAATTGGTAGGAAATAATATAAAGCTGGTTCAAATGGCCATCAACCATTTAAAACACCGAAAATACTCACGACTCCGTCCCGACGACCACGCAGCACCGCGCACGCCACACTACTGGCACAATGCCAAAACTGCTGTCACAGCAGAAATGTTTTTTTTTTTCTCGATTGCAATTATGGAATTATTTATTAAACAGAAGACGATCTTTCCGAAAAACCGACTGATTTCATACACAGATGCATGGAAAATAAAAAAATCCCGGGAAATTTATTTGTATTGTTTTGTCGATTTTGACATGCTCCTAGTTTGCAGCCATGTTTCGATATGTTCTACAGGGAGTTCAGAATTATTTCAGGACCAACCTTTTCCTCGTTCATTTTCCCGTCGATCATGAAATTTTTAGAGCGGAACAATTAGTTTCCAGGCGGTCCGAGCGGTTTTCGTGAGAAGGGTGCAAAAATCGGCGTCATTTTTAGAGCCTCGACACCAGCTCAACACAGGACCCTATGGGAGACGGTGAAGTAGCGGGAGCAATAAATAGAGCGCTCTAATTTTAGCTTATTTCCCTGTAGTGTCACCGACTGACATGAGACACATTTTCCATTGGAGAGTTTGTGATAATCAAAGAAATAATAGCAAATCAAAATACACTTAGGTACCTATGCACAAAATGAAAATGTTTTTTGTGTTCAAAGGAAAAATGAAATTACATAAAAGAAAGTAGTACACTACTGGAACTGTCCTTTGACAACATGCTTTCAGCATGGAGAGAAATTATTACAAACAATAAGGTGACTTTCATAATTCATTATCAATAAATTAAATATGATGCAGCTGGAAACTATCAAGCACACTAATTTACAAAATGCATATTATGAATATGAATATGAATAATAAATCAGCAACATGGACTATATTGTAACCACTGCTATTATGCTAACTGTGCCTATGCATATCAATATGGGAAACAAAAGGGAGCAGACTGATATAATGCAGCTCAAATTAACCTCTTGGCTGCACACTTTGAGCCAGAAGAGAAAAACTACTGCTAAGCTCTTGGAGAAAATTGAATTTCCCTATCATATGTTATGAGGCATCAGAAATGTATGATGCTTGGATCTGTTCAGATTTTAGAATAAATTTGTATTACTGATTGTCAAGTCTAACATCATCTTCCTTTTTTCACAGGTTTTACTGTCCCTGAGCAGAAGTCATAACCATGCAGCCTTCTCTGTTAAAAGAGGGCATTCTCTACCATCTGGACTATCCAGTGGTATTTAGTTCTATGGTGGATGTCTGGGGATGCTCCAGATGGTCCCTGGAAGAGTGGGCCTCATTCTTTGGAGACAAGCAGCTGAGTTTGAGAATAGGCAAGCAGGAGGAAAATGTAAGTGTTGCTTTTATGGCATGCTATGATAGACTTTTGTGCTTGTTTGAAGTGAAACTGCTTCTGAATCTTGTAAATGTTAGTGACTTAAGTGTGCTAAAAGCTTTTAGTTTAGGAGTACTTAATTCAACTTTGCAATACTTGAGTCAAATCCTCTTCCTCAGGCATAGGCATAGGTTTTCATACCCTGTGGTCTGCTGAAGTGTAGCAAGTCCATTGCTCACACCCTCTATCCCTCCTCTCCCTATCCACGCCCAGCTGACCTATCCAGTACATTGTGTATGCCACACTTCCCTCAGGCAGCCGGTCCTCAGTGGGAGGCAGAGAACGTCACCGTCTCGGCCACGGTACGCCAGCTGTTGGACTGGGCGGCGGGCAGACCCAGCAAGAGGCGCCTGTCGCAGGACGAGCCGTCACCCCTGGCCCCCTACCGACCGGACACACACTGGGCCTACTACGCCTACAAACACATACCACAGGAGTTCGGCGATAGTCCGTATGCGGCCGCGAAACTGGTGAGTAGAACATGGAGGTTTACGTATTTCATCGCATGTGTTAATGACTAATGAGTGTTTTTCTTGCGAATGAATGGGATTCTTTCAATGGTTTTATGAGCATTTTTAGTTTTGCAACCACTCATCATAGATGAGTTATCAATTATCATTGATATTCTGTTGTGTATCTACACATCGTTGTGTAGCTAAGCCTTGTCCACATAGTTGACAAGAGCATTCATGTGTCCATCGTAAACTGAGCACACTTCATTCATTCATCCGAACTCACCGTTTTATGATCTCTGCCAGGGTATCGACTGGAGTATGTTTGGCTTCCCTGGTCGGGGTGCGGAACATAGTACGCTGTGGCTGGGTACGCCCGGAGCTCACACACTCTGCCACCGCGACACATACGGCCTGAACCTGGTGACACAGCTGGTCGGCAGGTCAGTACGGTCTTAGGCAGGTCAGTACGGCCTGAACCTGGTGACACAGCTGGTCGGCAGGTCAGTGCAGTCGGGTGAATGAATGAATGAATGAATGAATGAATGAATGAATGAATGAATGAATGAATGAATAAATAATTCAGTCCATCACTCCATGAACAAACGAATGAATAAATCAATGAATGAATGAATGAATGAATGAATGAATGAATGAATGAATGAATGAATGAATGAACGAACGAATAAACAAATGAATGAATTGCGAATGAATGAATGAATGAATGAATGAAGCAAGGAATGAATGAGAAGCGCCGTTAAGCTTTATTACGAAATTTATGCACACTTCTTTTCTGTCGTGTTTTATTCTTCCGGTAGGGACGCGGCTGATGCTTTCACGTAGTGTTGTGCGTCCTATTTGCCTTGATACGAAAGTAAATCCTTTCAATCTTCGTGGCATTATTCAGCCCTACTCCCGTCGTTTCCTCCTTACCGTGCAGGAAGCGGTGGACACTGTTCCCGCCTTCGGATGGACCCCGACTGTATCCCACCCGGGTGCCTTACGAGGAGTCGACTGTATTCAGCGCCGCCAACCTGCGACGACCCGACTTCAACAAGTTTCCAGGTAAGAAAACGGGTCAAAAGTCAAAGAATAGGTCAGACCTGAAGCCATGACCTGGCGTAGCGAGAGGTAGCTGACGCACTGATCTGAGGTCCTGTCAGGCTGTTTTGTTTGCACAAGAATGCTATATGGTTTTCCTCAGTTTCTCTCAGCTTATCTTCCTCTTACACCTATCGAAGATGCATTCCGGAACGCTGCTTCGCGGTTTCTTTAGCTGTGTGATGTGTCTAGAAAATATCACGTTTAATGCAACTAGCGTTAGCACCTGTCGATCTGGACTCCACCTGCTTCCTGGAGCAAATTTTTGGATCGGACTCTGACCATACTTGCTCCTCAATGGCAACTTTTGACACGGCATCACTTTGTGACCGGACCTGTCCACAGACCTGGCGTCCACGCAGCCTCATATTGTGGAGCTGACGGCGGGTGAAACACTGCTGGTGCCGCGACACTGGTGGCACCTGGTGGAGAACCTGGAAACCTCCGTGTCCATCAACACCTGGATAGAACTGGTGAGCCTGGGCTTTTCGATCCTAACAAAATTACTTTGGCCTGAAGATGACGTGGTGTAGTGAATAAATTGTGGGGTTGAACTTTAAAACATCACTTTTGGATATAGCAGGACGTTCCTGTTATCATGGTTCAGAGCAGACCTTTCAGTAGTCTGTACTTTTGTTATTTCCTCGGCACCAGGGTCAGTGCGTTGCCAATTATTCGTAAAACTGTCAGTGTTAAGGTGGTGCAGGTGCAGTATCTTTGCTTGTTTGTTTGTTTTTGCTTTTTGATCGCGAAAGCATTATGCATTTTACCGGTATGACTTTGCCACTCCAACAGTCTCAACCTCTTGTATCTGATCCTGCGACTTAACCCGCGCCCTGCTGGGGGGGGTGTTTGAACACCCCCCCTTGTGGTTTTTCGCGAATATCTCAAAAACGGCGGCGCGGAGCGCCGCCGTTTTTGGTACACCTTATCATACATCAATTCTACACATGTTGTGAAAATTTCAGACCAAGGTCGTTCAAGGTCAGGTCACCAGGTCACTTGAAGTGACCTCACCTCATAAAAACTTTCAATGTCTGTCATAGCTACACCGAGTGACCGATCGCTTTGAAACTTTCAGCGATTGCTAAGAGCAAGAGCATGTACAAAATGTATATCTCAGAATTTTGATATCGATGACCTAAGGTCAGGTCAATTTTGCGACCTCCCCATTATAAGTCAATTGGAGAAAATTGAAATGCGCCTCTTTTGGATGAAAGACATTATAAACACTCCCAAACACCGAATTACAAGTGGTTTAGACACACTGAACTTTAAAATGGTGTCCGTGACCCTTGTTTATGCCCTGAGGTCATCTTAGGTCACGAATGGTATCTAACAGTTTTTCGCAAATAACTTTTGATAGAGGCATGCTAGAGCGATGAAAACGCCTTAGATGTGTTCAGCTCGACGATACGGATCGACTGATATGCAACATGACCCTTTCCGGTCAGGTCATGACCTTGACCTGAGGTCAAATTTTCAAGTTGACCTTTCAAGGTCAAGTTATAGTTCATTCGATGCGTCTTGACGAGAGGAACACGATGCCGGTAAAAGTAAGCTTGTAAAAGGTTTGGGTCAAAAGTTATTGCAGAAAAACTGTTTTCGAAAAAAATCGGCTATTTTTGCAGTTTTTGCCCCCTGCAGGCAAAACCATTGACGTTAGGTCAAATCTGAGAGAATTACTCAGAAAGGGCGTTAATAGGGCTATCGAATGCGCTTTTCTGCGGCGCTGTAGCTCTATTGGTTCCCGAGTTATGCGTTGGCTTCTTGGAAATTTTCGACATTCGACCTGGAAATCGGCGAAATTTTGCCTTCACTGACCTCTGGTGACCTGACCTTTGACCTGACCAAAAAATTGACCGAAGTGATTTCGTCATTATTTTTGACGCTCTTTCGAACGCCGCCTTCCGCGTATCGCTACGTGGCCCAGGAGCCGAGTGATTGCTAAGAGCAAGAGCATGTACAAAATGTATACGCCCCCAGCAGGGCGTGGAAATCCAGGACCCCCAGCAGGGCGCGGGTTAACTCGACTGTCATCTTGACTCCGGTGTCCCCGGCAGCCGTGTGACGCCGAGGCCAGGCTCCAGGAGGCCCTGGTCCGAACCATGGTGTCCCGCCTGCCCGCGGACGCCGCCTCCGCTCGGCTGCTGCTCAACGACCCGATGGAGGTAGGGGACGCAGAAGTGGTTTTGAAGCTGCATGGGGGTGTAGGTGTGAAATTATTTCAACACTTTACCGAGCGTAACTCGATAAGTAATGATCAGGGAATTGTGGGTGGTCAGCGTGGCCGAGATTAAAATAACCCGCCTCGTCTATCTCGAATGATTCATGTGGGCTATAAGTCGACCACCGTCTCAATGATCGCCGGTCATGCATGTTTACTTAGTAAACAGAAAGGCCTGTGCGACTATAGAACTCAGCAACCGACTCAGGTTATTCCCCTCCCGTCCGAGGTATTGGATGTGGGTGATGATTGATGTTGACCAATAATGCGTCCGTCGGTCACTATGCGGCGTGCGGCCACCACATCCATCCTCCCACCTTCCCGCGGCCGGACCCTCCTATCGACCCACCCTCGCTACTCTCTCCTCTGCTCTCGCCGCTCTGTCTACTCTGCTCTACTGTTTGCTGATTGGGGCTTAAAGCCTGAAACAGACTCTTTCCGCAGTCAGGAAATCGCATGCGAGAGCCTATTCAAATACATGGAAGCACGCTCGGATCAATCGCACGCACCTTCCGCAAGCGATTGATGCGAGAAAAATTACAATGTATTTGAATAGGCTCTCGCATGCGATTTCCTGAACGCGGAAAGAGTCTGTTTCAGCCTTAAGGGTGCGTCGACTAACTGGGGCCATTTGCGCCCATCTATGTGCTTTCATTGCTCTCTCTCTCTCTCTCTCTCTCTCTCTCTCTCTCTCTCTCTCTCTCTCTCTCTCTCTCTCTCTCTCTCTCTCTCTCTCTCTCCTCTCTCCTCTCTCTCTCTCTCTCTCTCTCTCTCTCTCTCTCTCTCTCTCTCTCTCTCTCTCTCTCTCTCTCTCTCACTCTCTCACTCTCTCACTCTCTCACTCTCTCACTCTCTCACTCTCTCACTCTCTCACTCTCACTCTCTCTCTCTCTCTCTCTCTCTCACTCTCTCACTCTCTCACTCACTCACTCACTCACTCACTCACTCACCGCTCTCCTCCCCCCCCCCGCAGGAGTGCTGGCCGCTGGACGCCTGTCTCTCCGTACTCCAGCAGTCCGCGGCCGCCCTCAGCCTCCCTCCAGCACCTGCCCCGCCGAGGGACCGGCGCGCCTTCTGGGCAACCTACCGCGCCTGGTCGGGAAATCGCCAAGTGCCGGCCTGTCCACCCTCCGCCCTGCTGAGGCCAGAGGTGCAGACAGCACAGACAGCCAGTGCGGCCAGCTCGCCCGATCCAGTGGTATCCCCGCGGTTAGGGTCACCCGAGTCTGTAGCCTCTCCTTCGGCGGGGGCAGGGGTCAGAGAGGTGTACCTGGCACTGGCGGAGGCGGTGACTGATCCGCAGACCGTGGCCGCGGCGGCTGAGGCGTTCAAACGCGCCCTGAGGAGACGAGGTGGGGTGCATATGCTGTGATGGAGAGGGAAGGTAAGGGAGGGAGAGGGAAGCTCGGCGATATTTGATCTTTTCTGTGAAATGTCAGCTGTGAAATGTACATACTCTTATTATTAGTAGTATGGGCTGTGCTGCATTGTGGTGGTATTCAAGCAAGTGCTTTTAGATCTTTATGCGAATGTATCTGTGACCAATAGTACTCGTATTGCTTTGATAAGGACACTGCGCTTCTTACAACATATCTGTATTTTGCGAATAAGACAAGCTAGAAACTTTTCGCTGTCCCGGCCCGCCTGGGCTAACTGTTTTTACAAAACGTTTCTTCGTAACTCACTGAATGGCGAGCGGTTCAATTAATGGGTGGCGTCATATCATCTCACGCCCTCTGCGCAAAACATCTGGTACATGTAACAACGCGAGCGGCAGGCGAAGGCCACATAGAATACACCCACGCAGGCAGCTGCTGCGTGGACGTTACGACCCCGAGAACAGAGTAACAGCGCAGTCAAACAAGTCATGTATCAAAAACCGGCGAGGGAGACCAGCCACCGCCCGTCACTGCGTGTAACATTGGTCGGCACGGCGCCACCGGCCGTCAAACCGTACAACATAAGTAGATTATTGGTTCCTCTACAGCAAGTAAACAAAATCCTTCCGAAGGAACGTCGGGCTCCCAGTGGGTGCCCCGGGCTCCCATTGGGTGCCCGATATCGGAGTCTCTAAACCCGCGGCAGTCAAGTAGAACAACCCCTTCCCCCAATCCACAGTCGTCACTGTCTCGACCACTGGCGATACGTTTTGTACACAATCTAGGGCAAGTGCACCGGGCTTCATATCCTACAACCGCCCTAAAACGCTTCATCACATCGCTTCAGCTTCTCAGAGGTCCTCTTTATGCAAAACTGTTGTCATCAACCGACATCCCTGGTGCCTTTAAGCGACAACCTCCTCCTCGGCGTGAGCATCCCTGCTTTTTGTCCAATGTAACTCGCGCTTTCCTTTCCGGGCTAATCACGCAGCTGTATTGCCCTAATGCGTAACTCAGCCGAGCGTGTCCTGCAGAATCCAAGCACGTCCTGCGCCGTGTGTCGAGCGTTCACACGCCTTCTCCGCCAGACGGCACCAGGTCACCGACAGCGGCCCCTAGGACTTGGCCAGTCGCGGGACTTCTTCAACAGACGGCACTACCGGTCACGAAGGGCGGTCCCTAGGACTTGGCCAGTCGCAGAACGTGCAGGATAACCTCATCCACGGTCTGGCTGTTGAGCAGCGTCTTCACGGCGTTGTCATCGATCACCACCGTGAACAGCAGCTTTGCGTTCTCCCTGGGAATGGAAAGAGGTGGCCGTACGTTAGATGTGGAAAGATAATATTCTACACCGTGACACTGTCATGTAACAAGATCTTCTGCTTAGATTATCAGCTGCCATCTTATAAAGCAGCACACTTCCATCCTTATAAAACCACCATTTACCCACATCCCCTCCCACCAGCCCACAGCACCAGCATCCAGCATCTCCTCTGGCCCTTCCCCGCCGAATATACACTTAAATCATCTTTTCCCTCTCTCATCCTATTCTTTCCGCACTGCCACCTACCTGAGTCTGTCCGGATAGGAGAGCGTCGGGTCATCGATGTGCGCGTGGCCGCAGCGCCTGATGACCGACTCCAGCACCTGCTCCACCGGCTGGTCGGGGTGGCCGAACGCCTGCAGCGTCGCCTCGTCCACCAGTAGGGAGAGCAGCTCACGGAGCGCCTCGCCCAGCGCGCGCTCCGACAACGTGCCCTTGGAGCGGACCTCGAGCTCGTCCGCCGCCAGTTGGTCCCGCCGACCTGACGGAGGGGGGGGGATAGGGTTAGAGACGGGGAACGGGATCAACTGGTCCCGGCGATTGGGCTAGTCGCCGAAAACAGGGACACGTGGAGATTCAGCGCCCGGAATGTTTTTCTCCTTGCTCATATCTGGTGATATCTGACATCATTTTTAGATAAGCCGTAGGGCCGTCAAAATATAAATCACCCCATTCATAAGGGCGTCATAGTGTTAACTTACACTTCAAACGGAACCCAGATATCAGGAAAACGAGGAAAAAGATCCGGCTCCAACACCCCACTCACCAACGGCCTCGAGCGAGCTGAGCTGCTGCTGGATCTTCTTTTTCTCGGCCTCGGCCATGATTTGGTCGAGCATCTCCCGGTGTTTTTTCCGCATGTGACGGAGCAGGCAGTCCTGTCGGATGAACGCCCGGCCGCACTCCTCGCAGGAGCGGGGAGGCTCCTGAGAGGGTGAGAGAACAGTCAATCCGGATGTTTAATATTCCTGGTGCTAAGTTCTAAAAAGCAAAAAAAGTGCACCGTTCTAAATTCGAAGCATGAGGAAGGGCGCTAGCAAGACCATAAGTACATATTTTCCCAATGCCAAAAAAATGCAACCAGCTTGCTACATAACTCATCAATCATCTTGTAAAAGTTCAGGGTAATCATTCACTATAACTTGACCTGTAGAAACATGTGCAATTTATTTCGTTCCTAACCCCAGCGACTCTCACCTTCGTGTGCGTCAGTAAATGTATTTTCAGCGACGGTTTGATGGCGAACGTCTTCTCACAGATGGGGCAGCGATGCACCCTGCTACCCTGGTGCAGCACAGAGTGTCGCGCCAAGTCCTCCTTCCGGACGAACGTTTTGTCGCACGACTCGCACTCGAAGCCCTTCTTGCCCTCGTGCACGTACTCTACGTGCAGCCTGCGGTGGAGTGGGACGGTCGGTGTGAGGTGAGGGTGTGAGGTAGGGGAGGGTGACAGCTGGCAGGAGGGAGGGGCGTGTCAGTTGCTGACAGAACCGTCAGTCATTGATGACGTTGATATGGAGGAGGGGGGAGGGGGTAAGCAAAACAAGCAGACGTCAACGTAATTCCGAGTAGAATTGGCAAAAACAACCCATAGTCTCATACGTTACAAAAACTACGGAATTCATAACATGGATATTGGATAATCATACGATGCCAAGATACCATCCACATGTAAATCGATCGAGAGTTGAGCATTGAGCGAGCTACTGAACACGGGTGCATGGAATTCAAAATTAAAGGTCACAATGGCGCGAACCATGGCGGTTATAAAACAAGAAGTCCCTCAGCAAAACGTCAACAAAACGCTCAAAACACGCCCTTTCCGTAGAACACTGCGACTCACCGTAGCCGGACCTTCCTGTTGAAGCTGCGGTCACAGTGGGGACACTTGAAGCCGCCCTGACCCGTGTGGTGGAAGATATGACTCTTGAGCTGGGACGCCTGGATGAAACTCTTGCCGCAGTACTGGCACGTGTGCGGTTTGACGCCCGTGTGTGTGCGTACGTGCCGGTTCAGAGTCTCCTTGGCTGAGAAGCGCGTGCCGCAGTGTTTGCACTCGTAAGGCTTCTCTCCGGTGTGGATCCGCCGGTGTTTCTTGTAGGAGCCGATAGAGGGGAAGTTCTTGTCGCAGAAGTCGCACTGGTACGGCCGCTCGCCGGTGTGGGTCCGCAGGTGCACCTGTGACGAAGGACGGTCAGTGGGCGACACTCGCAGCGAAACAGTTCGTACGGAGTCTGCGAAAGCATAGTCATGGTCGAACCATTACGTACCACAAGGATTTCGTTGTAGCAGGATCTATGATGGGACGGGAGAACCGCGGAGATCCGATTAAGTAAACGAATAAATATGCCCCACAAAAAAACATCAATCTACCAGAGGACAAGGTGGAAAACTGTGGATTGTGAGGGGCCGCTGTCCTGTATCAAGTTGCACTCAGGGTGACCACCTGGGCTCACCTGCAGTAGAGTGGAGCCGTAGAACTGTTTCTCGCAGTACTGGCAGGTGTAGCACTTCTTGCGGCGCACCTGGCCGGCGTGCGCGCGCAGGTGTTCCCTCAGGTTGTCCTTGCGGGTGAACATCTTACCACACACCTATGGACAGACGACGATGAGAGGGGGCTGGTCAAAGAGCGGCACGAAGGATCGATGGATGACAGTGAGGGGGTAGTGCAGGCTTTTGCCAGTGCAGGAAAATCATGCATTAATAGGGCCGTTGAAGTCATCGCTGAAATCAAGGTGTGGGTGTAGTGTGTGGCAGGAAGCTTTCGTCAAAATAAGGCTTACGTGTCGGGTCGCGGCCGGCCGGCCGCGGACCATTTTCAGAAGTGGCGGGCAGACCGTGCGTCGAGTACTTGCTTTCTCGCGCGGCGGTACTGGGGTTCACTAGCATTGTTTAAAATATTTTCATTTGCCATGAACTTGAAATTATACACTGTAATTAACGATCATTTGTCAATTATTACAAGTTCTTCAAAATTCTTCTTTGAAAGCAAATGATTTCATTTCACTCAAGAATTGTCTTGTCCACCACTACAACCGCCACCCAGCCGCCATCCATTGGAAGAGATAGGCTCTGCGGCACAAAGTGTCGTTTTAAACTGGACTGGGAACCAATGTGTGAAGACATTTCGAGCTAAATTTATGCTCATTGTGTACCTAGAAGCATTGGGAACAACGCTCTGACTGTACATTTTTAGATTTTTGCCTCTAAATGAAAATATTTACAATCAAGTACTTTGCGAGCGCAGTTTAGAAGCTCCCGTAATGTTAAAGTCCTATCTCCTACAAGTATGTAAATACTGCTCTAGGGAACCAACAGTTCGCATCGTACTAGCTTTAAATTATATCCATATTGTTCCCAGTACTTTGCTTAACACTGTGGTGAGTGTACATTTTTCGTTTTTTGCTTTACAAGCGTAAAATTCGTCTGGTTTTACACCATTTCATTCGCCTCCATAGCCCGGTAACGGCGCCGCGCGGCGCGGCCGGCCGGCGCCCGCTGTAGTTTCAAACACTGCCCGATAGATGGCAGGCGCAGAAGTGGTCCCAGCCGTCCCGGTACGAAAAACTTGGACTTTAACTTTAATCACAGGACAGTTGCCTACGCATCACGCAAAAGAAGGGAGCTGTTGAGCTCGACCAGATTCAGAAAAGAACAGATCCGTAAATCGGCAGCGAGACAACCCAAATGACAAATGGTAAATGCCAAGAAAAAAAAAAAACATTGAGCAGAACAGTCAACAAGCTGATAGACTCGTAACACAGCCATGCAGTAGCGAGATACTGACCCTACCTCGTTTTCCGCGCCACCAATGGCGGGCTCCTTGCAGCAATAAATGATCACGAATTCAGCATCAGTCATTATGACAACCGATTGCAGTTTAGTAGCTAGCAGAATAACATTGTATTGAGTTAATTACGTGCTCATTGCTGAAAAGTTATTTGAAACGAGTCGATGGTATAAAGCAGCGTTTATGGGAACGAAAGTCGAAAGACGTGGTAGGCACTCTTTTCATGGGTCAGTCAGCCCAATGCCCAAATGGAACCGTGAATAATTTTCAAAAATTGCCCCCGGAACCCATCCGTTCTGACAGCACTAATTAGCCAGCATTGCCCTGACGACCACTACAATCCACCGACCTGGCACGGGTAGGCGGCCTTAGGCTTGCCGTCACAGCCGGTCTGCATCACATGTCGGTCCAGATGGTACTTCCGACTGAAGTGCTTGTTACACATCTGAAAGGCACCGACAATATTTAGCTGCACGAACCTCACTTGTAGGCAAAAGCAGCCTCACATAACCGATGAAAATATTACGGGTGAGGGTAATTCACGGAAAGCAGTAGTTATATGTCGATAATGATGGCCGAAAAGTACTCATTGGTAGTACAACGCCAACCAAATAACTGATCCTCATGCGGCTCCCGTTTCCACTAGCCATGCACAACAAACGTATCCCTTAGCTCAGGTAACCCTTCCTCTCTCACTGTCACACCATACCCTTCCCCCCTCCCCAGACACCTACCTCGCAGGTGTAGGGTTTCAGTCCGGTGTGGGTGTACATGTGCCGGGCCAGGGTGCCCTTGTCAGCACAGCGCGCGCCGCACTGCGGACACTGGTGTACGTCTCCCTGGTGGTGGATCACCCGCTTGTGGCGGTCCACCGACGACTTCAGGCGGAACGTCTTCAGACAGTCGGGTACGTCACATAGGAACTCGCCGCCCTGTGGGGAAAGTAGTAACGGGTCAGTTGAAATGATAGGGCAGTCTACAATATCCACTGTCCCGTGGAACAGTATGCATCTTAAGTTGTGTAGGCCTAATCAGAGAATACAAGTCGTGTAAGCGCTTGGACAACGAAAGCGAGATACCCAGTCAAAATATCAAAGAACCAATCATAGGTTGCCCCTCTCCCACAAAAAGGACCCGACCGCAGCTAATCCACTCCCATCGCTACACACTGTACACAGTACACAGTACACAGTAGCAGAAAATCAGACACAACTGACCTTGTGTGCAGTCTCGATGCTCTCGCCGCAGCAGTGACACTTGTCGGCCGATATGTGCTCCAGCAGACGGTTCACCTTCTCCAGCATCTCATCTGGAACGGACAGCGGGCACGGTCAGGCGGCGACACGGCTGCCACCTACCGGCCGGCGGTGGAACTACTGGGTCGGAGACGGCCAGCCCGGGGTCACGCAGTGCGACATTCATAGATTTATTGCTACTAAATAAGGTATGTTGAAGGAGAGGTCAAAACATTGCTCGCACTATAAGAGATCGAATGACAATCTCGATAAGTAATGTAATTGTTAGGCGTTACTGTATGAATTGAGTGCATGAAATGAATCAAACTCTAATCATCGTAAGTAACGTAGCACACTGTCTTTCTGTGACTGACCTGTGATGGTGCCCTTAAGTTTGATGTTGTGCTCGATGAGGACGCGCACCTGCTCCGGGTCGTCCGAGAGCAGAATCTCTCCCTGTTCCAGCACGCGCATCGGCGGCCTCAGGTCCACTGGGATGGGCGCCGGCTCCGATTTTAGCAGCGTCATTGAGCTGTACGGCTCCACAGTGGCAGGGCCTGGCATTGTAGCAAGGGGGAGGGGACGCGGAGGTCAAGGTCACGCGGTCAGAGGGCGCGGAAGATAAGGTCGGAAGCACGCTAAATACCACCGATGAAAACAGATAAAATAGACACCACAGGCCCCCATGAACAAACATTACCCCTGGCCCTGACCCGAACAGCATCCCTCTGACTGACCTGTGAAATCATTGTAGCCTCCGTCGCCGCTGGAGGGCCCAGCCACGGCGGTGACCGGCACAGGGGACGGTTCCCGTCGGGCCACCGGCATCAGCGTAATGTCTGCGAGACGGGACAAACAATGCGAGGTTAGCGGAATACCTGTGACCTCAGTCGGGACACGGAGCTTTGAGATAAGTAGCACGTGGTCAATGAAGTCAACACTAATAACAGATGCAGAGGAAGTGTTAATAAATGAGCCGACGAATCAGCCGATAAATAAATCGTTATAATTTGGTAAGCATTTCAGCACATGAGTTGTTGTCATAAGTACGAATGCATTATATATCGAATGAGCTCATCGATACGCGAGGCGATCCCAGTGATCCATATCCCCATGCTCTCCTTCCCACAGACCACACCCCTCTCTCTTCCCTCTCCCCACCTGGCAGCGGCTCGTCTTCACAGGCGGGCATCTGGAGCTGATCCTCGGACACTGGCACGGCTACCACCGAGCTCGACTCCATCGGCGCCACGTCCTCGAAAATCTCGGCCATCTTGCTGACAATGTCGTCCTTGCGCTTCTGAGAGGCCAGCCGCTCGCTGTTGCGCTTGGGAGGCGAGTCGGTGATGTCTGTCGGAGTGATGGTCAGCTCGCCCGTGTCTCGGACGATGCGCCGCGGGTTGCTCTTGGTCGGTGCCATGGTGGCTCGCCGGTGGTCGCTGTGGGCAGGGAAAACAGAGTTGGTCATGGTAGAGTCATGGGTTATGGTGTTTGGAAAATGGACAAACATGCTTATAGGATTAGGCATCCTTAGGCTAGGATTTATAGCCTATTATAAGCTCAAAGGGTTGCTGTTGATGCTGCTGAAGTCAGTCGTCAGACTGTGGGATTGATCAATTCATAAGTCCAGAATCCTTACAAAGTGTGAACTAAAGTTCACCATTCCTAGAAGCCTAAACTGTGGCCTACATAAGCAGATGAAAACTAATCCTGCTTCACTGTAATTATGCAGAGGGATGACAACTAGCAATGGCAGCTGACAGGCAATGTAGGTATTGTACTGATTTAGGACCAGTTGAGACAATCCACTGTCAAGGTAGGTAGGTGACAGACAGAGATCCAATGCTTGGCTTGGGCACCTGGTTTGGAGATCTAGACAGGCAGCAAGCTGTGGATTATAAAGCATTGAGATTTGAGAACTTGTTGCTATATTTTATAGTTGCAGCCTGCAGGTGCATCATGAATGCACCATGAAAACAAGAAAAATAGCTACATAGGACAAACTACTTAACCAGTCTCCACACCAAACTACCTACCAACAATGTATTTTCTAAAATATAAAAAACACTCCTACAAAATGGAAAGTTGTGGATATTCAAAACAAATCAACAAACATTAAAATAAGCATTACTTAGCAGAAAACTACTTTGAAAATCAAAGTTACAGCAATTAGGGATATTAAAAAACTTACCAACTAGGCATAGACACATTGAAAAATTAAATATGATGTAGGAAAGAGAAGAAAAACATTTCAATTTTGATATACCACCAATACCTTTTGAGAGTTATTCACTTTCCGTCCACCTGTGATTGACACTAGCATGCACTGCAGTATCTAGCATGCAATTTAGAATAAGCACAGCAATAATGAATATTTATTTTATGCTAATGGAATCCAGCCAAAATAATGCAACATAATACAACTACCTTTCTATAAACATCAAATCTACACAGCAATGATGCAAGCCATTTCTAGCTTATGAGAACTTATATCAATATGGCTTTGCTTATTAGGTCATGCCAACATGGCATGGAATGCTGAAATTGCATGCAACATGAACAAGTAAAACGAAAAAGATGATTAAATGGCATGCCTACAAGGTTGGCATAGCAAAATATCTATATTAAAGGGACCATCCCACCTTAACATTAGTTTTGAGTTGAGATAGCCAAGTTTGCGGCCAGGCTCAGAAACCACCATTTATCCTGGTCGCAACCCCCGCAGCTTTATGGTGTTCAAGAAATTTCTTCCCTTTACTTGCAGGGTGGGACCAGCTTAGTCCCTATCTCTTAACCATTAGCGGTTTTTTGATGACGTCAGCAGTCATTTCAACGCCCGCCATTCCTTGAACCCGAGTTTTGCCGACCTTGAGCTCCCTTTTTTATCAACGTGAAATCCGTCGTCGGCGCTGAGAAAGCCTATTGCTTTTCATTTTAATTTGAATATTAGAAGATACCCACCACTGGAACTTGGACTGATATTATACCAAGGCCGAAGATGATCAAGCTGCCTGCTATATCTGGAGCTTGGTGTTCAACTTCAACATGGAATAAAAAACAAAATATCAAAGCAAACTGGATATGGTACTGCAAGTTAAAGTCCAAAGAAATTTGAAGAGCTGACAATTGACATTAATTCTTTTCCTGCAAGGTTTCCATATGGAGATCACAGTCACACCATGAAGAAATATTTTTGATGTTTACAGTTGAAAGGGGATTTATATTCCAGTTTTGACGAAAGACGCTGCTGACTGTCTTTGGAAAAGGATGTCGGCATGAGGTGCAATTGTGCTTGTGAAGTGGTTATAACTGGTCTTTTCACAGTATTAAATTAAATGTGCCATTGCAGCCAAGTGTGTTATCATGTAAGGTAAAATCAAAACTACAATGTTGGTTTTACGAGCATTGAGAAGGCTGGTAGGTAACACCTGCCTGTGCTCGTAAATCATGCTGCCAGCCAGAGTATTCTAAATTAATTTTATCATACACTTTTGTTGTCCAGAATGGTTGCACTATTGTTTGGTATCATATTATTCCATGTAAATATGGTAGTGTAAAGTCCGACCAACATGTTACCAGATTTGAAGCTGTTACGTTACCTAAGTACCTGTTTTTTACTGGCGTGGTGAATGTCACCTGGATTTTGTTTTGAGGTGCAGACCTAGTAACTCTGACTACATGGGTTTGAAGCTATTATCTATTCTGTTTTTACTGGCCTGGTGAATGGCGACTGATGTTGTCCGTGGATGGCACTGAAACAAATTTTGAGTGTTTTGTACAGTGTTTTAATACAATGCCGAGGGCTGAAAGTTCTCTTGTTTAGAGTGGTGAAAGTTCAGGATATGCCAGCCACCATGGTGGGTCAGAGTTAAATGTGTTGCAGTCAGTTCGGCTTCGGCAAGCACACGGATGGGCATACGCATCAAGACCTGCTCTGCCATACTTTCAGCCAATTTTACCTAAGTAAGTCTTTTCTTTTTTCTGCCAAAAGCTATGACATTGTGAATTTCAGCACTGTGGCCTGTGTGTAGCTTTCAGGAAAGCAATTCTAAATAAAGCTCTGATAAAGTGCAAAATCAGCAATGCAGCCCTCTATTACATTTTCTACAACATCTTACTTGTTCCTTGCATGGAGAGAAAAATGCAATGTTATGAATTCGTTTATTCACATAATTTGACAAGCATGCAGTTACCTGCTACTATCACTGCACAAAACAGAGCAGAAAACATCAGTTGATCAAACACAAGACATAACAGAAGTTTACAACATAGGGCTGCCGAACCTGCTTCCTCCCACCACAGTTGATGCCATTTCCTAGCCTGGCTTGATGTGAGCACTGAATAGCTGCTTTGTCTAATTACAGCTCACTACCATTCAACTTAAACTACTCTCTTTAAAGTAAGAGTGAGAGCGTTCAGTGTTCATAGCAGCTCGACAGACGACAGACAACAAACATCTTGACAAACCAACCAGTATTTGATTTGGCTAATGATTTATGTGCTTGTTGTATCATGGCCAAACTACTTTAACAGCAATAATCCCTGTTTCATCTTGATCTTGCTTTTATTTCCATTTGAACTCAGATCTTGAAACAATCATCTGAAGTGATATCAGATACTGGCTTCTGTTTCTCTTGAAAGCAAGTTAAAACAACAATGATAAACTAAGGCAGGAGATGTGAGTTGTGGCAGTAAATTTTTGATTCAACATATGTCAACCTTATATTGCTTGAGACCTCTGTGACAGACAAACAAATATTTATAGTTTTTTGATAGTTTGGATTCTTGGCTTGATTTAGCAGATCAGCTGTGAATCTTGACTTTGAAATCACATAAATGTCATGGTACCCGAACGAATCCTCGCATGACATTTCTTCGTAGCACAATTTTTCGTCCGCATTTCTTCGTCTACAAATCTTCGTCGGTGCATTTATTTGTCCCTCAATGCTTACTCTTGCATATATTTGCGTTGAAGAAGAAATGCGAGCCGATTTTCATATACTCTGGTGCGAGACAAAGTAATGCGATAGGTACGAATAAATGCCCTGACGAAGATTTGCAGACGAAGAATTGCGATACGAAGAAATGCCATAAGAATTGTCCTGGAATCCTTTATTGGCCATCATATATTGACCTTGATAAGATAAACGCATCATTCGCGCAATATTTGTCGCACTTTGATACCAAATTATTGCTTCCAAATACCGACGTAAAGAAAACCTTTATGTGACGTCATAGAAACAGCGGATTTCCCAAAAAGTAAACAAAAATAAAAGTCTTATATCTCGAAAACGGGTGAATATTTTCCGGTAAAATTTGGTAGATGTTCATTTTCGCTCTTTGTGATTCACGCTACATCACTTTTATGCCAATTCATTAACTTTTTTGAAGGTGGGAGGGTCCCTTTAAGAGAAAGGAACCGTTAACTATCGCGCCACGTTCGTCGCACCTAATGTAGCCGCGATTTTACTCAAAACAAACAAGCAAAGACATCTGAAAACTCAATCAAAACACTCACCTTTGAGCCACCTGTCGAGTTCCGCTTCAACAAAGTTGAATTCGCGGCCGATCCCGCGGGCGCCGGCACGTTTAGCAACCCCTCCCAAAATGGAGCCTACTGCACCGCACAGCCATCTTGTAATGCGGCTCAGACGCCACGCACGGGGTTGCTGCGTCGTCGGCGGGCGGCCGGCCGCTAGAGGGCGCCACCGGACGGAGCGGCGCCCCCGGCACCGGGGAAAGGACGGACGCCTAGCCTCGGGCGCCATCCAAGGGCCTCGGGATAAACTGGAATGCGGAAACCGGGCGGTGGGACGGGAGGAGGATAGCGGATCTGGAAACTGAGTGAAACCGAACGGCAGAGCCACTCGGGACGCCTACCGGGAACGGATAAGGGTCGACCCCTGAATTGGCACAAATGCCCCGAAAATAAGTTGAAGTGTAACATGACTTCGGTTAGATATTCGAACAATATAGAACGAACATATTGTCTTCGGTCAGGTCATGACCTTGATGTTAGGGGCCTTGGTTAGGTTAACCCGCGCCCCGCTGGGGGGGGGGGGGAGGGGCAGAATCTGCCCCCCTCCCGTTTTTCGCCAATAACTTCTAAACGCGTTACGCTAGCGACGTCAAACTTTCAGTACCTTATCATACATCAATTTGACACGTTCCCTGAAAATTTGAGCGAAATCCTTCGGAAAATTTTTGAGAAATTCACGTTTTAGTGACGTCATGTTCGCCATTTTCGCCTCAAAAACGGCAAAATTTCAAACACCGCTAACATCTTCATTTTTAAAGGAATTAAGACGTTACAAAAAAAGGTTATACGTAATTATACTTTGTCTATCAAATGGCTATCTCGGTTTTTGGAAAATTTTGGATTTTGGCCCAATTTTTTCAAAAAACTGACTGGTTTGGGAAAATAATTATAAAATCCAAAATTTTGAGTGCATCGAAAAAACGGAATAGGTATATGTCAGAGAAGTGGTCTATGTGCACCTACAAACCAATTTTTAGAAGAATCGGTTAAAAAATGTGGGAGTTATTCAACATTTTATGACGTCACGACACACAAAAATTTTGAAAAATGATTTTTTGGGAGTTCTAGACCTCGTACGGAAACAAAAATAGCACCATTCGATTCGCCGTGAAAAACTGCATCAGATGGACACCTTTTTAGGCCTTAACAACCAACTTCAAAATTTGACCTCACTTGACCTGACCTTGACCTGACCTCGACCTGAAATTCATCCAGAGGTGGTCCATATCACTTATTGAGTGTGCCTATTGAATTCTATGAGTAAAATGACCCATTGGGGAGAGCGGGGCCAGTTGAAACACGGGGTCAGATGAAACATGGCTTTATTTTCAACAGTAGGGGAAGTTGGGGCAATGCCGGAGTTGGGGCAAAGCCGAAATTCGAGATATTTCGAAAACCGTAAGACATGGATGCCACCTGTCAGTGATGCTCTGAAGCATAAGTGACTACAATTATCGCATGTTTGTTACGAGTCGTCATTCGGAATACTTCGGCTGTGAGGGCGCCAAGAGCGTTTTCAAGGTACGCGTTCCTTGTACTGCATGCGCCTTTGAAGCTGCATTTCTTACTCATTATGCTACCGTTTGTCTGGCCAATTCGGTCAAGTAATCTTCAGCATGTCTTTGCATAAGTGTGCTGCCTATTTGAAATTTATACGGCACGTTGAAAAGTTATGGGCCTGCAAATGAAAGTATGGCTGGCTGGGCCGCTGGGGTATTGCCGAAAACGTGCAATTACGCACGTTTAAGCACGCTACGTGGACTTTACTGCTGTAGAATAGCAACGCGAATTTTTAGTCACACAAATTACACTTTCAACCGACACAACGGCCTGTTACCTATAAGGAATTATTTACATGGCATTTTCTTATTATATCACACAATTATAACTTCCAGTGTGCACCAAGCGTCCTCAAGCTCTTAAAACGCGTGTCAGCTTTGATAAATTTTGGATAAAATTTGAGATATAGAGGATTCTTCATGGCTCCGAGTGGAAGATAAGGATATCTTTTCCAAGCGGGTTACTGAAAAACCGAGCGACGAAGGAGCGAGGTTTTTCTGTAACACGCGAGGAAAAGATATCCGATCTTCCACGAGTGAGCCATGAGGAATCCTATATCTTTCTATGTTGAGGTTTATTCTTAATTAATAAAATATTATATTTAAATGCATTCATCTATGTAAAAATAGATTCAGAGTAGTTTGTTCTTATTTCATAAGCTTCATCCATAAACAACCATTAAAAATGTCGTTTGGTTATTGACCCATCATCACTTGAACTCTTGATTTTTCGCTATGAACCCTCGAGGCCTTATCTTTGCATCTCAGAGGGATGCAGATATAACAAATTCTTATCTTTGCATCTCAGAGGAGTGCGAGATAGAAATATCCCTGCACTGTGGACCCAATGGCAAATAAATCTCAACTAGAAAGATAAAGTGGCAAAACATCAATGTCGGCATTCCCCGTAGATCATTTCTCCCATTTTCGGCTTTCCCCGCAGTCCGGGGCAACGCCGAAAAAGTCACTTCTTTGATATTTTTAGTTTGTGCGCTTAACGGCATGCGAATTCATCAAATGCGCCTGGTATGTTTGAAAGGCAAAAGACTGGCCTCTCGAATGACGCCAACAAGAACAGCTTATCTTGTCTACCTTGCGTGCTACGGGCGTCAGAAAAAAAGTATTCGGCGTTCCCCCAACTTCCCCTATGCAACATATGGCGTTGCCGACACCACTGCGCGTCCGCGCTCGACCACTCCCTTTGTCAACGGCGTTTGGGCGGCAAACGGACGGTAGTTTCGATTTGACACTTGTTTTTGTGTTTTTGAGGGGCGTTTGGGAGAAATCGTTCTTATGAATATTTTGTGATATCTCATATACCTTTGTTTGCTGAAAGAAGAACTCCTGGCTCCGGAATAACACCTTATTTGGCCCTTCATTCTGCATGATGCCGTCCCTCCAGCTCGTTTGACATGTGCTTTACGGCGCGTGCGAGATGGCGGGAGCGGATGGGGTCAATTGAAACGCTTTTCTGAGGGTCAGTTGAAACAGGGCCACAATCCGTTTCAATGGACCCCGGTGACCTTTGCAATGGTTATTGTTCAGGGGCTGTAAACATTAAAGGAAATAGTCTACCTTTGAAATGAGCTTTTAAACTGAAATAGTAGTTTAATAGAGCTCAATTTTTGACCCCTTTTTCTCCAGCCTTTTGCTTGAAAGCACACTATAGCTTGAGATATTTCTCATTTTCCTCATCCGCCCATTTTACCATAGTCTATGTACTTTGTGTCACCTATTATGAGGAACTTTGCACTTTTAGCTTTCCAACGACCTATTAAATGTAGCATTTGGAAAAGTAAACCGGACAAAATATCTCCTTAAGAAAGTGGCCTTAAAGAGGAAAACATCCCATTGTTAAGGATAGGTGCAATTGACCCCATGGGCTGGTTCAATTGACCCTCGCATCGGGGTCATTTGAAACGGGCGTAGAGCTGTTTTATAAGCATGCGTTTGGCAGCAAAATATGTTTGAAACATAATTTTACATATCTTAAAATAAAGCCAAAAGAGCATATTTTTTCATGGTATTGTGCATTTTTCGATATGACAACTAGATCTCGCTGTGCATGTCAATATATAAAAAGTGGTTCAACTGGCCCCGCTCTCCCCTAAAACATGTGTCGCACATGCCCTTTTCTATATTTTGTTTTTGGTGACCTGACCTGACCTGACCTGACCTGACCTTGACCTTGAACTTTGAATGACATTGTATGCAACTTATATTGTCTTGGTAGTCTAAGAACACGTTTTGGGCAATCAGTCTCAGTCCATTCTCCGGCAACTACGGTGCAAGGCCGATACTGTAGAAACTTGCATTTTGTACCCTTGACCTGACCTTGACCTGACCTCTGACCTACTTAAGCAAAAAAAATTGGGCTCTTAAGATCCGCCTTGTTGAGGGCTTTCGATTGCCGTTTTCCCCGTCTTTCTACGACCATCGGTTCGGAAGTTAGACGGGGGGGGGGGCAGAATCTGCCCCCCCCCCATAGAGATCTTATATACATGTATATATATATATATATATATATATATATATACATGTATACATGTATATACATGTATATGTATATAAGATCTCTATGCCCCCCCCCCCCCCAGCAGGGCGCGTATGGCTGAATAGCCCAGCGGGGCGCGGGTTAAGCTTGCATTGGATGCCCTATAATGACCTCTGATTTGCCGTGGTCGACCCCTGAATTGGCACAAATGCCCCGAAAAAGTGTAACATGACTTCGGTTAGATATTCGAACAATATAGAACGAACAATAAGAACATATTGTCTTCGGTCAGGTCATGACCTTAATGTTAGCTTAAGCTTGCATTGGATGCCCTATAATGACCTCTGATTTGCCGTGAATTAAAAATGCTTGAAAATTCTCAAATACCTATTATTAGACGGCTAGCCGGACACAATAGACAATGCCGTATGCTGCTTATTATTACCTGGCGCCCTAATATACGGCCTTGCCTGGCGCAGGATGTATACCTATTGTATAGGTAGGTACGGGGTACCTATAGGGCCCGTCGGCCAACTCAGAGCCCCACGTGTGAGCCCTCAGAGATCGACGTGAACGTCAAGCCAATGATCGACGGGGGCGTTGGGATCTGTAAAGGTCGATTCTTACCCCAAGAGACTGTGGGCCCTCGAGGGTCTGTTAACCCGCGCCCCGTAGGGGGGGGGGCCGAAACGCCCCCCTGTCCTTTTACGTCTATATCTCCTAAACGGCTGGAGATATTGCCACCAAACTTTCAGGATCCCTCTGGGCATCAATTTTACACATTGTGACCAGAAATTTTCCAGAGGCTATGATACAGGGTGTCCAGAAAAAACGGATACTATTATTTTTTGCTGTAATTCCGAAAATAAACACCGCACATTTTAAAATGGCACATGCTTGTATTCGCAAAAATATGGCAAAACAGACAGCATGTGCCACATGGCATGTAAACCCTTTGGTTAGTCGCGGCAGCTCCTCAAAGCAGATACTCAATGTGAGCGGCCTTCCGGCGGATCAGCTCCAGCACTAGCACGGTCGGCAGGTGACTGATGGTCATGTTGACCCTCTCGGAGTGCAGGCAGACAACTTTCCAACGACGCATTACAGTGCTCATGAGTTTTGCCAAA